CACGAAATTTGGAAAGTTACGTAATTTAGCGGTGTCAACATTAAGTTTATAATTTTAAATAGGTAGGGGTGCATTAGAAACATGATAATTTAGGAATAAATACCCTTAACATATGATTGTGGACTGAATAAAACTGGTTTTCAAGGTAGGACTGCTTTAAAATATGTAACATTTTTAACAATCTTATATTTACATGGCAATATAAAAGAAATCCGTAGATTCAGAATTCAATAAATCGTAAAATATGAAACAAAAAGTAACTTTTCTTTTTTTAAATATCTGGAGAAATTCTCAAAGTTTCCTGACATCTCTACCGTGTCAGTACGGCTCGTAGGCTTTCAGACAGACATCCGAGTGGTATTGGATTTCGTTTTACGTACGACGAGGCGTGTCAGGGGAGAGTGCCGCGGTATTGACGGAAAACTTCTCTGCCAGGTGACGTAAATCAGGGATTTTCCCTGAGCAGGCAATGTTTCTCACAAACCACCACATGAGAAAATCCATCGGTCAACGATGTGGACTTCTTGGACGCCAAGTTATTCGCCCACAACTTTGCAATCAATCGATTGGGAAATCCAACACCCAAAAGCACGGGAAAACTTATCGGAAAAATGGGATGGGGTCCCGTCGTGTTAAAAAACGTGAGTGCACTTTCGTTTATATTTTCAGTGTCTTCAATTTGTGGAGACGAAAACACTATAACATGTCTAGACGTATGTTCTCCTTAATGATGTTTCCGGTTAAGAAAGCAAGCCAGAATATGCTGAGTAAGATAGCAACGTAAACTGAGTCGGTAGCACTTCGCAACAAACCATGATCATATAACAAAAAATTAAATAAGATATTAAACTTTCAAGTTACAGACTTCCTTTATAAATGACTCTTATTAATGACGCGTAAAATTTGTGCAAAGAGTAGAAATAAAATATCTCTGATTTATGTAAATTTCACAACTGTAATCACGGTATGTTTTTTTATGTATGTAACAAAAGTGATGATGATTAATTTGTTATTTAATTTGAAAATTAGTTCTGCCATTTACAATACTATCGAATCTTTGTTCACAATTCTGTAAGCGTTTTCTGGCATTTGAAATGTAGTGGAACCGAAACACCAATTGAGGTGACGTCATCTAAGGGGACTCCTTCGAAAGCCAAGATCATCGTATCCGAGAAAATATTAAAAAAAAAAATGCGAAGAGAGTTACAAAATCTTCAAAATTACGTCACTTTGAGTTACGATAGCAACCAATTGTCAAGGATTAACACATACGAATTTGAATATTTCTGTCTTCTGGGTTCCTACGCCGTGTAGTATGGTAGATGTTTACGATCGTTTCAGAGGTCATAATGCCTCCATCATCAGGACGATGAATAAAATGAAGTATGAAAACAAAAATATTCATATTCACCGCTGTGAAAACCTCAAATCATACATACGAATTGAATTGTTTAGTCGTTAAAAATAGCAAACTCTTAAATTTACATACATTGTTTATATATTCTAAGCGTTCATAATATATGGCCGCGGATATGTGAAGTGTAGTTAATTTTCATCTTGGAACGCGAGTTAGTCTATAAATATTAGAATGATTTTATAGTTTTTAAAACACGAGCTTATATGTCCACACATCTACATCACTTTAGTGCCACAGACCTCGAACCTGTAACCCGAAGTAAACATCTGATAAGCAAATTACTCATTACGCAGTAAATATAAATCGAATACCACATGTTTCGTTCACGTCTCCAAGCAAGTAAGAACACAGCTGAGCAAATTATTCGTATATGCTTCACGTTAATTAAAAATTATTTGTCAAAAATAATATAGATTTCGGTGCATACAAGGAACGTCACTGGTTACTTAATATAAACTAAAAATAAAAGATATTTTTGAGTTTTAATGGAAATTAATTCCAAAATAGCCTACGTGTTGCAGGATATTTTTAACATTACATAAAGAAAGCATCTGCCCACGTTTGAAACATATCATGCAAGAAGATTTAATTTATGAATGTATAAACTGAACGCATGCATGCGATTCATAAAAATAAATAGCCATTGTGACCTTAAAAATCATTAAATATCTATCTTTGTAATGAAAAATAGACATGTCTTCTTTGAGGCGAAAAAATTAGTTTGTAAATAAAATCTAAATGAACTTCGCTTCAAGTGATAATCGATACATATTCGCAAAAGAAGAAATGAATATTATATAAATTTCATTCGAGTCATAAACAGGCCATGTGGTCATCATATCAGACAATTTAAACTCACTTCGTTACTGGGAAGTCTCGTCGAGGCTGGACCAGCGTGCTGGCTGTTCGTACGTAGCAAAATATTAAGAAACCAGTGTTCAATTAAAATAAAATTCAAAGTTTAGTACTTACTGGATCGCCGATTTTTGATGAAATAGATCTG